AATGTTTTAATTTAACAATTTAAATGCAATAAAAAATCGTTGTGTTATAAATAATTTTTACTTGTTGATCCTTTCTAAAGTTTTTACTTTACATGAAGGCTTTAAATAAAATACAAAATTAATTATAATGATTGTTTAAAATAGACGTAATATGTAAAAACTTACAAAAAATCTTATAGTTAAATTCTTTTTTATGTTGGCATGTATTTTTTATGATAAATTTAAGCATGTGAAATTATTTTGCCATGTCTTTCTATGGAATGATTTATTTGCTTTATTTTTTTGTTTTTATTTTTAAAAAAAATTGTTTGAAAGTTTTTTTTTAAATTGATTTACTTTACTTTATAATCAGAGCATGAAATAATTAAAAAATAATAAATAAAAATATTTATATAACTTAAATGTATTATATTATTTTCTTTTCATTAAAATAAAATTTGTTTATTTATTAAATAATCATTAGGTGTAATCAGTAATGAATCCAGGATTTTTTTTTGAAGGAGATGGATGTTGAAGTATTTTTGTATTTTGTACTACATGAGCATCTCCTAAAATAAAAAATAAGATTCCTAATTTCTAAAATATTTTAGAACTTTCATAATCTGGTGGAGGAAGGGGAGGGGGTGGGGGTTGGTTGCTTACGCCTTATTCCCCCTCCCTGGATCTGCTACTGGAAGTAATTTATAATAACGTTTTGCGTAACTTTAATAAAATGTTTCAAAAGATAAAGTGTTAAAGTAATTTTCACTTCGAGTTTTTTAAGTTTTATTTTGAAGCTTATATGTTTTCTTTTTCGTTAGGACTTGTTTTTGTTCTTAAGGAATTATTTTTTTATTTTAACATTTTTTTTGCAGTTTAAGTTTTAGCATAAGTTTTTTGCAGTTTAAGTTTAGCATAGCGTTTCTTTTTCAGCGCATTTCTGAAATATTTAAATTATCAAAACATCTAAACAGTCATGGCCAAATTGTCAACAAAAAAAAAATCATTTGCGTGGTCAGCAGTAGCGTACGATCGCACATCATTCCTGTTCAACCCTGTATATTTATATTTATATTATATATATGTATATTATATATATACGTATATGTATATTATATACATGTATATGCATATTATATATATAAGTATATGTATATTATATATATGTATATGTATATTATATATAACTCTGTTCAAAATAACAAGTTATTAAAAAACAATGAATGTAGGTTCAAGATAATCAACAGTTTAGTTTAGTACAAATAATGTGTTACACTGTCCTGTCAAAACCTTAGTCTTAGATATGCCATTCAAATAGCAGACAAGAATGTTATGCGTATCTAAATTGAGACCATGTTGACCATGTTGTGAAAATAACTCACCTGTTAATACTACCTAGTACCTAGTACTTTTTCTAAATGATTGTACAAAAGCTGTAAAACCTCAGTTACTGCTTTAACAATTAATCAAGTTGATTGTATACATATGTTTCTGCATTATCAATTCTTTTTTCTGATACAGATATACATACAGATGAAATAAAGATTACTGGAATTATAAGTAAGTGTAGTCTCTGCACTGCAAGCACATTTTGCACCATTGACACCAGTAGAATCGGCATTTCATAAGTTACTAAGCAATTATTTAAATCTAGCTAATAGTTGTCATGCTTTATATGAAATATTTAAGAAAAAAATCTCTGCCACACCATATGAATATAGTCCAAACAAAACTAAATCATGTTATTCAGTCATTTCTTTATCACATACTTCATACTAGTAGCCTGATTGCAGTTTTGACCATTTTTTATTTGTGCATTTCTAACAGAAATGACTTAAGTTAAATTCAAATCACGAAACTTTGTTTTGTTCTTGAACTAGTTGCCAAAAAACTTGACTGATTTATACTATTCATGATAATTAATCATTAATTATGATATAGAGATGTTAGTTGTTACTAAAATAATAAAGATTTACATGTTACTCACTTGGAACTTCTTCTACAGCATTTTGAACTTCTGAAACATTTGAATTTTTTTTTTCATTAATAATTTTAGATGAAAACTCATCTAGTCTGTTTACTAAAAAATTGATTTTGTCACGCATGCTTATAAGTTCTCGTTTTATTTCTTTAACTTGATCATCTTCTAAAGGCTCAGGCTTACCATTGACTAAACAAAATAAGATAAAAATGAATTTAAAATAATAGATAGTTATAAAGAAAAAAAAAAAAAAATATATATATATATATATATATATATATATATATATATATATATATGGTACTTTTAATTTACTGAATACCATCCCGTTACCTTTTTTTCTCCACTTCGAGCACTGTATATATATATATATATATATATATATATATATATATATATATATATATATATATATATATATATATATATATATATATATATATATAGACACACACAATTATCTAATGTCATACTGATTTAATGAGCTGCGAGGGCTTTAGTACATACAATCAACCGATATAAAAACAGCATCGGAGTGCAACACTGACTGAGAACATGTGTCGGGTAGATATATATATATCTGCTATAGCGTATATCTGTGCACGCGCGTGTGTTTGTGTGTGTGTAGTAAGTTTTTTTTTTTTTTTTTTATTTTACTTCACCTCCTCAAGGCTGAGAAGGCTGAGAAGGCCACTACAGACGAGGAGGCTACTTATTTTGTGGCTATAACTCTCTCTCAACTCTATAACTCCGAAACACGAACCTTGACGAACAAGGCCGCTGCGTGGAGAAACAAGTTGAGCACGGTACTACCAGGGACGTAGTGGGGATCGAACTCGGAACCACTCGTTTATGAAGCGAGCACTCTACCACTACACCACTACCACACTTTAAGTGATTGGGGCACCAGCCCCTGCTAAAAATGAAACTTTTTGCAAACCCAGCCCTGGACCTGGCAAAATTATAAGATTTAGCAGGGGCTGATAGGCCGGGTTAGAAAAAAAAATTATAATACTTTTTGTATTATAGTTTTTTTTTTTTTTTTTTTTTTTTTTTTAACATCTTCACTTCCAACAAGGCTGCAAGCAACCACTATAAGAGTTGGAAGTTACTGGAAGAGAAAAGACTAAATCTGTAGAGCAAGATAACGATTGACTGATGACTTAAAAGATTGCAAATTATATGAATCAGGAAAGCAAGATGAAGGAAGCGAATTCCAAAGAACTGATGTTCAAAGAAAAAAACTAGAAGAATAAGAGTTTTTGAAGCACTTAGGAACAGTCACAGAAAAAGGATGAGACTTAATTGAATGGCGAGTAACACGAGAGTGAATTTTAGTAGATGGCACAAGGGACGCTAGCTCTTTAGAGCAGTGCCCATTATAGTATTTGTAGAAAAGAGAAAGAGAAGCAACATTACGACGATGTGACAAAGGTTGGAGATTGGCTGCAAGAGCAGGTCCAACTATGTTTACAATTCGTTTTTGCACCTTGTCTAAAAGAGAAAGAGCATCATTAGAAGATCCGCCCCAGATGTGGCAACAGTATTCCATACAGGGACGGATTTGAGATTTATAGAGATAGAGAATAGAATCTGGAGTAAGAAAGTGTCGAGCTCGATAAAGAGATGCAACCTTAGCAGATGCTAATTTTGCAATGGATTTGATATACGGTTTAAAAGAAAGATCAGAAGTAAGAGTTAATCCTAGAAGATGAATGGTAGATGACTCATCTAGTACATTACCATTCATAAATATAGGAAGATCTAAATTATTACGATAACGATTGGCCGAATAAAATTGAGTTTTATCTGAATTAAAGTTCACCAGCCACTGTGAGCCCCATGCTGTAGCAGAAGTGAGATCCTTTTCAAGCTCAGATACCCCCTCCAAGCAATCAGAGAGTGTAGGCTTCTTATCATGACAAGAGTAAATGGTAGTGTCGTCAGCGAATAATGCCACCTTAGATGTGAGAACATCTGGAAGATCGTTAATGTAAATTAAAAAGAGTATAGGGCCAAGGATTGAACCTTGAGGAACCCCTGAAGTTACAGGATGTGAAGAAGAGTGTTGTCCATCGAGGACAACTTTTATACTACGATTGGAAAGAAAGGACTCAATAATCTTAAAGACGTTACCAGCTACACCATAAGAAGAAAGCTTATGGAGAAGACCAGCATGCCAAACTTTATCAAAAGCTTTAGAAATGTCAAGTGCGATAGCCTTAACCTCTCCACCTCTATCTAATGCACGGTAAAACCTATCGGTTATTACTGTTAGCACATCAGCTGTAGAACGAGAAGACCGAAATCCATATTGATGATCAGAAAGTAAGTTATTTGATTCAAGATGAGAGATTAAGTGTTTGTTGATTAAAGATTCAAAAACCTTGCTTATGACAGGAAGAAGACTAATGGGACGGTAGTTAGATGAATCAGATCGCTCTCCGGAATTTTTGAAAATAGGGATAACAGATGCTGCTTTCCAGCATGATGGAAAACAAGACTCTGATAAGCACTTGTTAAATAGTTTAGAAAGTATGGATGAAAGCTCCGGAGAACACCTCTGCAAAACTACAACAGGAATGTTGTCAGGACCACAAGCTGTTGAAGAGTCTAAGCAGGAAATTACTTTAGATACAGAAGCTGAAGTGATGCGAATGTCAAGCAAGGGATCAACCTGTTTGACGGCTATGTCAGGTAAAACGCAACTAGTAGAATCAAGAGATGATATTGATGAAAAGTTCTTAGCAAACAATTCAGCTTTGTCTTTAGGTGAGGTGACAAAGTCTGAACCATACAAGAGAGAAGGAATAACAGATTTGCCCTTATTATTGATACTGTTAAAGATTCTCCAGAAGTCTCGAGAGCCTAATTTTTGTGATGAGATACGAGATTTAATGACCTGGGAATAGCGAGCTTTGGCGTCAGACAAAACCTTTTTACAATGGTTTCTGGCGATAGTGAACAGATGTCTGTTTTCTGGAGAATTGTTTTGCTGATAGATATGGAAGTAACGGTTTCGATTAGAAATTGCTGCAGCGCAATGTGAGGAAAACCAAGGAGAAGAGTGAGGCTTGACCTGGAATCGTCGAGAGGGAATAAAAGATTCCATGCCAGCCTGAATCCACGAAGTTATGTAAGAAGCACATTTGTCAGCAGGAAGACGAAAGATTTCTACCCAAGGGCCATCACGAAGAAAATCACGGAAAGAGTCCCAGTCAGCTTTAAGGTAGTTGTATGTGGTACGATGATAGGGGGATTCTGATGAAGTAGAAGAATTTGATAATAGTTTTAGAGAGATCAAACCGTGATCAGAAGTACCTAAGGGTGAATGTGGAGAAATTAAGCACTGACTAGGATCCAAAACAAGACATAAGTCGAGTAGAGAAGGTAAATGATTAGGGTTGTCTGGAAAACGAGTTGGAAAGTTGACTATTTGAGTTAGAGATTGAGAAAGGCAAAAGTTGAGGGCCTTAACGCCAGCAGAGTCACTGGCACTAGAGCCAAGCCAATCGGTGTGATGGGCATTAAAGTCACCAACAACGACGATATTGGCCGATGGATAAAGAGAGAGGGCTTGGTCAATTTGATCAGAAATAACATCAAGAATAGTGCAGTCTTGGGATGAAGGAGAGCGATATAGAACTAAGAGAAAGGCGATAGAGTGAAGTTGTGCTAAACGAAAGCACATAAATGAATAGTCTGTAGATTCAAACCTAGTTTCACGACAAATGGGTGAGTTCTTACGAATGTAGATGCCCAGGCCAAGCATGTGATTATTGGAGTCTTTACGAATTAAAGGAAGATAACCATCAACACTAAGATCACAAGATGGGACAGCCGAACTCAAATTAGTCTCACAAAGAGCAAGTAGGTCTGGTGAACTTTGCAAGAGATAAGACTCAACAGAAGAAAAGTTACTTCGAAGACCACGAATATTAGTAAATGATAGGTTTAGAGAACTTGGTGATGACAATGGTTTTTTGTGTTTTTTAGTTTTAGGTACTTTAGTCATTTCTTACTTTAGTCAGTTTTATACTTACATTTACTATTTATTACATACTGGCATATATTTATATATTTTTAAACTCTAATTTACTTTCAACAAGATTGCAAGCAACCACTATTAAGCTATGAGTTACTTTAAAATAAAAGACAGGTTAAAATACTAGAGAATGGTTAACTGAAGACTTTAAAAGTTGTAGGATGTATTAAAAATAAAAAGACGAAGATGGGAAAGAGTTAAAAGACTTTTTTGATGAGCAAGGACAAAAAACTGAATTAATAAAAGTTTTTATAGCATGAAGAGACAGAAAGAGTAAAAGGATGCAACTTGTTGAATAAAAAGCCAAGTAAGAATGAGTTTTGGTTTATCATAATAGTGATGATAGCTTGTTTAAACATTGACCATAATAGTATTTGTAGAAAAAAGAAAAAAATGCAACCTTACAACAATGGGAGAGTGGTTTAAGCTTGGCAGATAAAGCAGGTCTAACTACATTTACAATGTGCTTCTAGACTTTGTCTGAGAGTAAGATGGTTGTTAATATAGAAATACCGAGAATAATGCAGTAAAATTAATGAGCTTTGTTGCCACTATTTAAATCCACAAGCCACTGCAAGCCTTAGTTACAGAAGCCTTAGTTACAGGCTGTTACAGAAGAGAGATCAGATTAAAAACCAGAGCTTGTTTAAAGCAATCAAAAAGTGAAAATTTTTTGCCAAGAAAAGAGTATAAAGTTGAGTCCTTAGCTAATAGAGGCACTTTAGATGTAAAATTTTTATGAAGATTGTTATTGTAGATAAGAAATATTACAGGAGCAAAGATAGAACTTTGTGGTACCTTTAAAGTTATTTGAAATAAAGTGGAGTGTAGGCCTTCAAGAATAACTTTAATTCTGCTGTTAGAAAGAAATAATTTATTAATCTCAAAAACTTTATATAAAGAAACTAATAATAGAGTGAAGACTAATCGTAGGATAAGTGGAGTGGTCAAAGTGTTTTCTAAAGTTTTGAAAAATGGGAACCACTTATTTAGCACTTTTAAAAGTTTAGAAAAAACTGAAGAGATTTCTGGAGAACACTTTTTTAAGGCTATGATGGAAACCTTGTCTGGAGCACAAATTATAGAAGTGTTCAATTGAGAACTAGAAGCCATAATGATTTTAATGTTTAACAATGGTTTAATCTGTTTAACTGACAGGAAGAGTGTGGCCATTAGATTCAAGAGTTAAATTAGAGTAAGATTTTTGGCAAAAAACTCTTATTTTGAGAAGTAAAAAGTCAGACCCATAAGTTAGAGATTAAATGTTAGACTTACTTTAGTTAATGACACTGTTGAAGACTTGCCAAAAATCTCTAGATCTGAGATAAGAAACAAGATTTAGTAAACTTAAAATAAGAGAGCTTAACATTAGACAGAACCTTTTAACATTGGCAGGGTGTAAACTAGCCCTGTGGCGCCCAGTCAAACGCGGTATTCCCAAATGCTCATAAAATTAAAATTCCCAATTTAAAGGTGAAAAAATCCCATTCTCCAAATAAAGTTTTCCAAATTTTAGTTTAATAATTATTCTCAAAATTATTGAAAATTAATTATTATTAAAAACTAATAGAAAAATTAAAAAATAATAATTCTAATTCTAATTGCCTAAAACTTGAAATAAAATTGTCATTATTGAAATAACTACGCGATTGCATAACTGCGAAAATGTCTCTTTTACAAAACTTCTTGAGAATCGGGATTTTTCAAGCAATTGTAAGGATTTTCTCGACAACTTGCTAGTAAAATTAATTTTTTTTAATTTGCAAATAATTTTTTGCAATGCATCCCAAGATCAGCAAAAAAGTTATCAAGAAATAAAGCACTAATCTTAAAAATCTAAAATAATAACAAATTTGTTTGGTTTAACACTATCAAAAGTTATTTCTCTAAAAGTTTCACCTTTTTTGGTTGAAAATTTAAATAACTTTTTAAGCCTTACTGCAAACTCAACTTTAAGTAGTACATGTGCTTTGTCAACAAAAATATTGAGAAGCCATTTACATCAGATATTTTTACAATTCTGAAGATTTACGATTATTACGGTAAGGGGTTATCCATAAATCGGAGATTTATGGATAACCCCTTACCGTAGAAGTCGGAGCTATTTTAATTAGCTATATTAAGCTATTTTTACGCGGTGATTGTCATTAAACTGAATGGGCTATTTTGATTTTATATTTAAATTAGGATCCTGCAAGAGAAAACTTTGGATCCTTTTTGTTTTGTTTATTATGAAAGTTTGCATTATGTAATTTATGGATGATTCCTAGTCTTTTATTATTGTTTTTCATTTTTTGTTTGGTATTTTATATAAACTGAATTAGGTGATCACATTGAGTAAAATCATTTTTTACTTATCTACTATTAATTTACTTTTTTAAAAAACTACCTCTGAAATATAAATTAAATACAAAAAATATTTTATGATTATAACAAACTGGTGCTACAAATTTATTGAACAAGGAAAAATTAAAACGCAAATTAAATAGTTTAATAACAAGAATTTTTTTTTATTACAACAAACTGGTACAAGAAATTTAAATAGCAGAAATCAAGAATTACCACTTGCTTGAATTTATATGTAACAATTTGAACAAACATAGTAAAATTCCCATTTTCGTTAAAATGCTGTATCAAATTTATTGCTAGTTAACACGCTGATTGGTTTCTTGGAATATTAAAAAGACATTTGTTTATAAGAGAGATGTTCTTGTAAAAAAGATGAAAAAAAAAAAGAATACTGTATAATAAAATAATTGCTCAAGATGAGGAGTAGAATGAGGCTTGACTTATTATTAAAGATAATGAATAAAAGCTTCTAAGCTTTTATTCCTTCAAGAATAAAAGCTTATAAGATGCGCTTTATGCATACATATTATGGGTATAAACGTATATTTTTGCTATTTATTTAGATGCTGGCAAACAATACCCTTTCATATTTATACAAACTTTAGTATTTATATGGTGTAGTCTTTGCCAAAATAGAAAATGATCAGATGAATGTATGTTGTGACTCTAAAACGACAAGAAAAGGAGGTTTAGTCTGAGACAGATTAGAAAAAAGCGTCTTATCGGACAACATTTATTAGAGAAGATTAAAGTGATTTAGGTATCAGCATGTAGAGAGGTAGAAGCTTCAGGAGAAAATGGTAGTGGTATATATATTATGAATGAGGTTTAGTTAAATAAAGAAAATGCTCTAGATTGTTTATATTAGAGAAACAGCATAAAAGAGGAAAGCTAAAGCCTGATGATGATGATGATGATGATGATGATGATGATGATGATGATGATGATGATGATGATGATGATGTTGATTATAATAATGATGATGATAATGATGATCATGTTGATCATAATGATGTTTATATATGCATATATATACAAAATATGACATGAATTTTGAATAAAAAAATATACTTTAGGGATGTATAATTGTTTATGCAGCCCTGGTCACAAACCTGGCCCCGGCTCCCAGCTATATTTTATCAAACCCGGTCCCCGCCCTGGTCAAATATCAACCCTGGTCATTTACTATGTGTGCGTGTGTGTGTATATATATATTATAAATAAAACTATATATTTTTAAAACTAAAAGTTTCATGCTAAATGCAATCATCAGGTAAAAAATTTGATTTTTTTTCGTGGAAAAATAATTTTGTACAAGAGAAAAATGTGTTAGAAAAATCTAATTTTTTAGTTAGTGGTTATCCACCAAAAATTTGTTCTTATGGTGACACTCGGATATTTGTTCGCTTTTTTGTTTAATAATTCTTTTTGATTTTTATACAATAAAATTATTAGTTTTTTGTATAAGCATAATATGCATTTTTTAGTTATGTTGTTGTAGGCGGGGGCGCTTTTTGCGATGGACCATGTTAAATTTGATGTTGTTTTTAACTTATCCTTTGTATCCCATAGGTACTTTGAAAGTGTGGTTGTGTTTATATATATATATATATATATATATATATATATATATATATATATATATATATATATATATATATATATATATATATATATATATATATTCTGGGACTTTAGCCTTAAAAAAAATAAGTTCCAAGTCATTAAATCTCATGAATTTTTTTCTCATAACATATCATAAGTCAAACAACATTTACATATAATCAGCAACTCTGAAATTTTCCCAAAATTTAAATATTTAAAGGGGCTACTTTAAGTCTTAACTTTACAGCATGAACTAAATTTAAATAACAATAATAATAATACTAATTTTATGTCAATTTGGGTTTTTTAAGCAGCAAAATTATATAAAATTTTCAAAAATTATTTTACACAAAAAATTATTACTTTACATATTACATAAAAACAATTTTTTTAATTTCAACTATTTAATTAGTTAATGGTTTAATTTAACATTTTTTGAGGTAATTTTAATTAAAAACTAATTTATTATTTTAGAAGTTTTTGCTTTTAATTTTTAATCTAACTATTAATGGTAAATGCTCTTGGAGATTTTACCAGTTAATAGGGTTCAACCAAGCAACTTATTGTTATTTTTAAACTATTTATTAAAAATATTTATACATATAACTTGTATATATGTTAAACTTATAACTTACATATATTTTATATTGGTTAAAATTTACCTTCATATCAAAAATCTCCTCACTGAACTTACTTACCAAATATTGTCAGTTTCAAGTATCTACTAAGTGACTTAGCAAACATCAAGTCAGAACTGTCAAAAATGGTCACCAAATCCCCATCTATTCAAAAATAACAAACACGTTATTAGAAACGAAACAGTTTTAAAACAATATTACTATACTTTCAATTATATATTTGTATATTATTTAGTTTCATAAGTTTTTATTCTTTTATTTTAATTTAACTAACAATTAGAAAACTGACCTTCGTCTTTTACTTTAATAGTTATTTCATCTGAACTTTTTATTTTTCCACGAAAAAGCCTTTGCATCATCAGCAACAACTCGTCATAGGTAATTTCTTCGTTATGAATAGGAATTTTACGAATATCATTTCCAAGTTGAGCTTTGATAACAAGCTTTCCAGTAAGGTCAATTGCAGGCATCGGAAAAGTGCTGCTATTCATGGCCATCTTTTATAGCTCCTAATAGAATAAATCACAGTTTATTTATTTATTTTTTTGTTCAAAATAAGAGATTATCGATAAATTAAAAATTGTTGTCAAATGTTTGTGTAAATTTTTGAAATTCTAACTGCTCATGCGCAAGTTTGTTATTCTATCTTAACAAGAACTAAATGTTGTCTTTGAAAGACGCACCTAAAAAGAAACTTTTTCGATAGTATTTCAAAAATCGTGGTTTTTTCTTTTTAAGATAATAAAAATAAAATTACGTATACTAATTATAATTAGTATACGTAATTTAATTATTTAGATTGGAAGCTTAATATTAAGCTTCCAATCTATATACAAATAGAAATGTTTAGCTTCAAGCTCCTCCGTGCTGGAAGTTTAGTAAAGATTCCTTCCTATTATGAGTTTCAAAAAAGCGAGTAAACGAGTACCCGTTAAAAAAATATTTTTTATAAAAGTTGTATCTAAAAACAGTCAATTAAAACTTTTCATTAAATGATGACATTATTCCTTTTTACTTATATATAAACTTTACTTTACTTAAAGTGTTAGGGTTACATAAGCCAGGAGCGTTACTTTTACCGACTGCTTTCTTACATTAAAAAAGGTCTTCAAATCTAAAAATCACCCGACTGAAATGTGTTAAATGCCCAACTAACCACCTAGAATTGCCCCTGAACGGTGTTTAGAAATACTAGCGTCTGTTTTGTAAAGAACAAGTCTTTTACAAAACATTTATTTGTTACAAATTGACAAACGCTATTTTTTTATGACATAATTGTTTAGAATAAACTTTTTACGCTTTAAAAAAAAAAAAAATTTCAAATCAACTTTTTTCGAACAAAATATATATCTTTTTAAGAAGCAACTAAAATTATTATATATATAATTTGCTTAACTGCAGGGCCGCCGAGAGGGGGTTCCTGCAGTTACCTGAAACCTGCTAATATATAATTATATTTTTTATTTTCAAGATTTTGAAAGAATTTTGTCCGTGAGAGCTAATAAGCGAGGAATTCTGATTTACTTAAAGGAAGACATTGTACACAAGATCTTCTTTTACATATCAAGTGGTTATTTTTAAGATGTTATTTTACATTTAAAAATTTTAAATTAAAAAATGAGTAAAATGAATTTTAAATTCATCAAATGATGGGTAACCGTTATTAAAAAATGTTACCGGGGCTGTACCTAACGGGTGGGTGCCCGGGTACCAGTTGACACGTAGTTCCTATTGGGAGCTTTCGAAGATTTTGTGAGCTATTTATGACCTGTAAAATTTAATTGACCTATTACTATTGTGTTGACATATAAGTGGTTACTCATGGCGTGAAATTGTTATTGGGTGTGTTTCCCTAAGTTAGCATTAAATTGGACTACTCTTAGTGTATTTAGCCATTGTAGTTTATACTCAACAGCCCTTATAGAATTAAAGATTGCGGAGCATAAACTACAATGACTTTTGACTGAAAAATCTGTTTGGTGATATTTTTTTATGATGATGAAGTCATGTATAAACTGCAACAATTTTTGACAAAAAGTTTTGTTTTGAGTAACTCAAACAGCCTGTATTGTTGAGCCAGTTTCATAATCAAATTTGTTTATAAAACTATATTTAGCAATAAGAAAAAACCATTACATTCAACTATTTGCTGGCAGGGCCGTCCCTAGTTGGATAAGGGCAGTTGAGCTGAATAATCAAAAATAGGATGAAAGCCTATTCAAACAGAAAAACCGGGTTTTTAAAGCCATTAAAAATTAAGCCATTAAAAATTAACTTTTTTTTCCTAAAATAGTGTCATTAAAAAGATTTTAAAGAATAGGAGAAATACGTTTGAGTTATGAATTATGAGTTATGAACTAACTAACTATAAATTACCAATTAATTATAAATAAGATTACAAAAATATGTAACAAATAGATCAGTTGTTTATTTATAGGGGCTAAGCTATAAAGCACTCTCCTCTTAGAATTTTTTTTAAAGCTTGGCGTCTCAAACTAAAATAATTGTTAATTTGTACTACAATTAATTGTAATACAAATATAATTAGGTATCTCAAATTTTAAACGCCGATTAACAATACAATAAAATGTACAACCAACTATTTTAAATTAAGTATAATTAACACTTATATAAGAGGATTGAGATCAAAAGAACTCGAATATATTACCTATGAAGAAAATAAATTTTTTCAGCTTATTTTTGATATTTTTAAACTACTTAGTTCCAAAGAAAAGCTCCGAGATATAATATAAGAAATCTTCCAAAACTTGTTTGTAAATAATGTTAATAAATTAGATTGTCATTTATTAAATCATATTTGTTTTAACTTTTTTTAGCACTACCTGATGCAATATTTGCAAAATTTACATAACATTGGATAAATGAGTAAGACTAAGAATTAATACATGTCTATTTATAAAATTTTTCGCTTCGTATAATATTTCAATATTTTTGGTCATTTTCATTTGCATGATTTTTTCTTGTAAAAACAAAGAGTTTCCTAAAAAGCAACTTTGAAAATGGAAATTTAAATCGTTTTAAAATTTCTACAATTAATTTAAATCGTTTTACGATTTCTACAATTCTAATACTCTTTATCTTTCTATTTAATTGTCATTAAACATTTTAAAATGCAATTATAGAAATGAAAATTTTGAAAAATTTGAATATATATATATTCCCAGAAAACTTTTATTTGAAGAAGTCTATTAAATTACAATTAAAATACAATTTTATCTTGATTTCAAGTTATCTTGATTAATTAACCAGAGTTTTTGAATAATTTATTTTATTCAATAAAATGATTTTCTTTCAGGTATGTGTGTTATGCATATTTTCTTTGTTTTCGCTCATTAGTTTTAATTATTTTATTAATCGTGTTTGATGTTATTAGTTTTCTTACACGTCTTGCGATAAAAACCGAGGTGCAGTGATCTAAGGTTTGATGCCTACTATGGTCATATAAACAATATCGTTAAGAAAGACAACGTAAACTTCATTAAATGTTTTTTCCGCGGTACGCTGTAATAAAACCGTACCATCTGGAAGAGCTTTGATAAAAAAAAGTTGTCTCAGTGGCGGAACTTCAAAATTTGGACCCCCCCCCCCCCCCCGCAAAAGAATGTTTTTTTTGCGGAAAAGAGTTTTATAGTATAAATATTATTGAGAGTATAACTTTTTTTATATGAGGGCTCCCTATAGCTGGTAGGCCACCCCGCAACGCAGGGTCCTGCGTCCAGTAGTTCCGCTACTGAGTTGTCTAACTTAATAAGAATCTTTATAAGCTTTTTTTTATATCAAAAAAAAAATTTTTCTTCAGAAAAAGTCTTTCTAATTAAGATATCTTAATACGTTTTCCAAGATTTTTTCTTGTTGTTGTTTAATTTATATTTTTCTTCCATGGCCTACTTAAATTACCATTAATTTAAATAACAATTGAAGTAGGCCATGTTTCTTCATATTTCTTAAACAAATAATTTTTTTTTTAAGAATCGAAAATATAGAAATTCGTTTTCTTTTTAAATGGCGATAGTCCATATAAACTTTAAATTTTTTTGAAGTTTTTCCATGGACTTAACCTTTATAAAATATATATTGAACTCATAGTAAATATCTGTTTCCATTGTAAGGTATTTTCTTTAAAAAAAAATTTTATGAGATGCTAAATGATTTTTTTCTTTAGCAGTTTGTTTCTAATCGACCGTGTTTTCTTTAAGCCTAATTTATATTTATTTAGCCGGTTAGAAAAATGTTTTATTTTTTAGCTGGTTAGAAAATATACGATTTAACTAAAAAAAGATTGAATTCAATTGTTAAAAGATATTGCTGTTCTGTAAATTTTAAACCAGTTTTTGTCTCACTAAAAGTTTCAAAATTTTTCTCTTCTAAAGATCCTATTCCTCTAGAGTTCAAATTTTTCGTGGTCTACAAATTCGTATGTGCTGGATCTAACTCCTGTTATATAGGCAAAACTACTCGCTATCTCGAGACACGGATAACTGAACATTATAAGAGAGACAAAAAATCCCATATCTATAAACATCTCCATGGTAATGAAAATTATTTTATGCAATTAAATGAAAAGTGTTTTTCCGTTTTAGATTCAGCATCTAATAAGTTCGAATTAAAACTTAAAGAAAGTATGTTCATAGATTATGGTATGAACAAACAGGTCAACCATGTCCAAATGACACTTTCTGTTTAGTTATTACTTTCTATGTAATTTTTTATTAACCTATTCTTTCGTCACTTTCTATTCGTTTTTTAGTATGAGTTGTTATTCTTAACGTGAGTTTCCACTCATCCGTTTTATCACGGGAACGGAAAAAATAATCACGTGAACATGCGTCAGACATATTAAAAAATATACTACGCATGCCCACGTGATTATTTTTCCCGTCCCTTTCCCGTTCGCGTGAAAAAAAAGGATGAGTGGAAACTCACCTTTATAATAGATTTTATTGTATTTTTGTAATTAAATTAATAGTTTGTACACAAATAATTACATTTTGTAATGGTATTGTAAAAATCACCTATATAGGTATTTAAACAAATTTAACTTCAACTGAAGATGACTAGTGATAGTCGAAACATGTATTGTTTTGAATTAATAAAATGGTTTTATTAATTAAAAAGTTTGTTTTGTTTATTGATATATATATATATATATATATATATATATATATATATATATATATATATATATATATCAATAAACATATATATATATATATATATATATATATATATATATATATATATATATATATATATATATATATATATATATATATATACATATATATATATATATATATATATATATATATATATATATATATATATGTTTATTGATATATTTTTCAGTTTTTGTCTCACTAAAAGTTTCAAAATTTTTCTCCTCTAAAGATCCTATTCCTCTAGAGTTCAAATATTTCGTGGTCTACAAATTCGTATGTGCTGGATCTAACTCCTGTTATATAGGCAAAACTACTCGCTATCTCGAGACACGGATAACTGAACATTATAAGAGAGACAAAAAATCACATATCTATAAACATCTCCATGGTAATGAAAATTATTTTGTTAATTGGAAGCAGAGATCATTAAATTTATCATCAACAATAGTTTTGTTGTTTAATTGTTGTGTGCGACGATGCTTGTTAAAAATCGTATAACTGCATTTTTCTAGATTAAAGCTCATTGACCAAGTATCAGCCCAGTCAACTACTCTAACGATGTCAGTTTGTAATCGCTGCAGGTTAGAGGGTTCTTTTATAATCGTAATAATTTACTCTGGATGATTTTTGTTTTACTCTAAGAGTTTTACTTACTCTTTTTGAAGTCTGTCAATATTTAACGTTATGGAAAAAAAAAAAAAAATCTATTATCGTTCTGATTTAGACTTTCGTAAAACAAAAAAATTTCTTTTTTTTTTTTTGCTACAAGCATCTAATTTAATAACTTAGATTGTTAGCTCCTAATCAGGATAGTTTCCCATTATATGCCAATAAAACTGACTCTTTCTGTATTAAATATTTTTCTGTTTTCCGTTATGAAATTTTGCAAACTAATACTTTTTACATTTTTAATAGACATTTTATGTGTATCGGCGCTATTTTGATACTAATGATAAATAATGTTATTAACCTCAACCCTTTACATATTACAATTTTAAGAAGTCTCAATAGCAAGTTGAAAACGATAACTTTTTGGTACAGTAAAGTCAAAATTTGTTACAATAAAGTCAAAATTTCGATTACAAAATTACGTTCTTCAAAATTACTTACCAAAAAGTCGGAAGACGTCTTTTTTTGGCTAGCGTTTTTTTTGGAGTAGGTACAATCGGCGGGGCGGGACGGATCAGCGGGGCGGATCATTTTAACGGTACAAACGGCGGGGCGGTTAATTTAAACGTTGCTAACATTTTATAATGCAAGTCATTAAATAAAATAAAAAAAAAGTTTTTTTATTTTATTTTTATTTTATAAGTATTTTTTTATAGATTCAGATATAGTTTAAGTTCATTAAAGAAATAATATTCAAAAGGTATTTGAAAATTATAATTTTAATAAACGACGAAAAATATTATATAATTTTAAAATCATTTTTACAAAAAACAACGTGATCCGCCAATTCATATCGAGTGGATCCACCAAACTTTATATAGTAATCCGCGTAATATTTTGATTGCTTATATCAAACTCTTTAAGTTTTACCAATTGTTCTACCAAGAAACAACGTGATCCGCGATGTGGTCAGCTTAATTTTTGATTGCTTATATCAATCTCTTTAAGTTTTAATGGTTGTTCTACCAAAAAACAACGTGATCCGCCAATTTATATCAAGTGATCCGCCAAACTTTGTAAAGTGATCCGCCTATTTTGATCGATTAAATCAAGCTCTTTAAGTTTTAATGATTTTCCTATCAAAAAACAACATGATCCGCCATTTATATCAAGTGATTTTTTTTGGATGATTCCAAAATAAGTTTTCCAATTTAAAAATCCGCCATTTATATCAAGTGATTTTTTTTGGATGATTCCAAAATAAGTTTTCCAATTTAAAAAAAAATGCAGATCTGGAAACTTAACGTTAATATTCTAGAAGATACTGATTTGTTTAGCGTGCGTTTTTTCAATAATCTTATATCTTATTTTGAATTATCCAAAAGGACACGAACCCACATTTTTATAAATGTCAGTAAAAGTCCCTTAACCCATTTTTATACTTTTTTATATTTTCGCTAAACTTTTTTTGTGTTCTTAAACTACTGTGTTTCTATTAAATGGATTCTATATCTGGATTTTTCATCTGTCTTTATTAAATTGCTGAACAGTTCTAATCTCTAAATGAGAATTAATTGCTTGAATAAAATTTAATATTAACATTATTTTACGAACAGAATTAAAAATAAAAATGCAATTTGGCTCTCTTATCGATTTCAATATATTTTCATCAAGCTCAGTAAAAGAATTTTTGAGTCCATTAGTAAAAAAAGGAAATCGAAAATATTTTGGGTTATTGGAATCACCATTAAATTATGGTGCTGCAGAGAAATTATATGCTACTGAGCTTCAGTATAAAATTTTTGTATGTGGTAATGGAGCTATTGGGAAAACAAGTGCAATACTAAAACTTTCAGGGGAAAAGATTCCTGATAATGTGCCTGAAACACTTGGAATACAAACAACAGTTATTTATTGGCCTGTTCGAATACTTGATACAGATCAATATGTTTTGTTTAAGCTTATGTTTTTTGATACAAGTGAACAAACTTTAAATACATACAATCATATTCTTCCTAGTTGTACTGAAAATCTTGATTGTATTGTATATATGTTCTCTTTCTCACGCTATACTACATGGGAAGATATACCGAAGTTAATTTCTAGAGTTGATGTTGGTGAGGATGTACTTAAGGTATGTGCAGGAATACAAAATGCAGATATTTTTTCAAAAAAAACTGAAGTAACGAATAAAATGATTAAAGACTTTGAGCAGGTTTGGGGATTTCCTGTTTTAAATATTAATAATGAAAATAAAGAAGACTGCAAGGTTCTCGAATTATTTGAAGAGATAAGTACATTTATGAACAAACTATGTGAGCTATTATGGTACAGAGATCAAGTTAGAGCTAATTTGATTCCAAAGAATCAAGTGAACTTTTGTTTCAAAGATAATTTGAACATGTCTAATAATCAGAATTGTGCTGATGAAGCTTTTTGTTGAAATATTTTAAATTGAAATTGACAAATATTCATTTTTCCTGCAAATATTACTATATATATATATATATATATATATATATATATATATATATATATATATATATATATATATATATATATATATATATATATATATATATATATATATATATATATATATATATATATATATATATATAAATAATTGTTTTAAATATGTAAATTTATTTATTCACACTGTAATCAATTATGAAATTATAAAAGTATTTATTTAAAACAGTTTAAACTAAAATTTTATTGTTTTATAGTAAACTTATTTATACTTCAATTTTAGTTTTAATTTGTAGATATTCTTTACTAGAGCAAGGAAATATAATTGGAAAGAAACATGGAATCAATAGATATCATTAGAGAACTTGAAAATGCAGCTGTTGTAGTCATGGTATGTTTCAATTTTTGATTTAAAAAATGCATAGTATTTTGCTCGGAAAATATTTACTACAACATAGAAGTGAAATAGTTCTTTATAATACTGAGGTAGAAATTTAAATCAGGCATGTATAAAGGGGATGTTGCTGCTACGTAGCAAAAAAAAAAAACAGGCAAACTCTATCAGGTGCTAAAATAAAATGTAATTTCATACTTAACTTTTTATATTGTAACTTTAATATTTGTATTTTGTATGAGGTTTAGATACTTAGTTAATGTATATATTGAAGCCCCCTCCCCCTCCCTGATGGCTATTTCAATATGGCAAATTAGTCTGCATTTAAGTCGTTTATATAATGTATTAAATGCATACTGACGGTGTCATACTATTGTTGATTTTTTGATAGACTAAATACAAAAAAAGAACTAATAATTATTAGGAGAGTAATTAAATAGTTACAGTGGAATGGCTTGAATCATAAATCAGAATTTCAAGTTTTATGTGAATGTCAGATATTATTTCAAAATGAATGAGTTACAAAAAAATAAAAATAATTATTATATGCTAATAATATAATAGAGCATAGTAAAATACCATAGTAAAATAAAAATAATTATTATATGCTATAATATAATAGAGCATTACCATACATTTTGATATTTGCTTATTTCTTTTGTTTAATCGAAACATGAAATTGTAAATCAATCATATACAAAAAAGTTATGTATCATAAAGGGAACTATACTATATGAACAATTATCTTGATTAAATTAACTGGGAAAAGCTCTTTGAAAAACTTAATGCTGACAAGTGTTACAATAAAAGGTAACACTATTATAAAATGACATGTAATCAATATATTCTGCAATCAAATATGAAAAAAATCAAAAAAGCACCTTTGGTTAATAAAAAATTAGCAGCATTTATAAAACTGAAAATGAAATTGAGGATCAAGTGCAGGAATTCTAAATTTCGAAACTTCAAGGTATTACAGGAATGCAAAAATAATAACAAAGTTACAAAAAACTGTAAAATTTACAATTTGAGGGTATGAGTATGAAATAGAAAAAAAAAATACAAAAAAATAATCTTAAATTGATATACCAATATAAACAGTAAAATTAAAATCAATCAGAAGATATGTGCACTTCAAATGGAAAATGGATCAATATCAGTAAATTAATCAGATACTACAAATGTACTTTTTTCATTCAGCTTTTCAAAAGGAAAAAAACAAAACTTTTAATAAATCATTAGCTGCGCCAATTGCAAATCCAGAAATGAACATTGACACTGTGTAGTTTCACATAAAAAATAAATGTTGTCAATTATGCGTAAAACGCCAATATCTCTTTGTGAATTTAAACATAATTTATATACAAACTAAATTACCTAGATGTTTACAATTGTCTTTTATATATATACAATTATTCACAAGCAATTATATTGTTACAGCAATTAGTCAAAACCACTTCACCTTACTGACTATAACTTTCAGGCACCTTTCTTTTTTGCATACCTCTTTGCAACATCGGTGTATTCTTTGGAAGACACTTGTTGCTTAAGAAAAAATGACACAACACATATAAAAATGTCTGTAGTTGATTCAGTAATCAAAGGGCTAAATATGAGCCTCAAATGGAAAATGGAAATTTTGCATGTCTACACTAATTCAAAGTGGTATTTCATTGGGCTACCAAAACACTCATCAGAAAATCTAGATTGTGGACAAAAGCTTCAAGCAAAATGTTGATAAGAAGACTTTAGACTGTTGCAAATATAGTGGAAGAATACTAAATCATAGTAGATATCAAGATTTTAGCTTTAAAGTTTAACTTGGCTCATGCTTTTACTCAAGTTACTGACAGTTTTTTAGAAATAGTTGATAAAGCCTCTGAAATGATAGGAAGTAGGATTATTAGAATTTCACTATATTTAAAAAAAAGTTAAGCATGTTCATATATCCACATGACTATATGGCGTTAAGAAAACATTGTACTTTGCTTGTAAAATTGATCCATCAGTGGTTTATCTATAGATTAAGCTTTTTTAGTGGTTTATCTATAGATAAAGACTTTACCAAAGCTTTGGATTCAGTGGCACACAAAAGATTGTTAACAAAGTTAATCATAAGAGATAATCATAAAGCAAATTGGAGATACCAATAAACAATTTATATCCACAAATAAGAGGTCATAAAGGTTGCACAAACAAAATATTTTTATTTCAGAAGCAAGAATGCATTTCTTTACAAATTGTAAATAAATGGAACAGTCTAACAAATGAAGTTGTTTATGCAGTTAATGTCAATACTTTCAAAAATAAACTCAACAAACATGAGAAAAATAACCAAAAACATGAGAAAAATAACTTTATTTTATTTTATAATTATTATGAATTTTATTTTTTTATAATTATCATTAATTTTATTTATTATTTTTATGAATTTTATTTTAATATTATTATGAATTTTATTTGTATATTTATTTTGCTGTTAAAGTCACGCAACTACTGTTGTGTGACTCACGTATCATCATATATAAAATAAAATAATTAATAGTTTTAAAAATTGATATAAGTATATGGTATGTTTTAGTTAACCAAAGTTGCACAGTTTGCCTCCTAGTTTAAATAACTGTGCACTATCTATGATTTGCTGCATTGGAATATGACTAGAAAAACACTTTTTTTGATATTCAAAATATATTAAAAAGTTCTGTAGAGTCTTTTTATTCTTTTCAATACTAAAGTTAAGCTAATTATGATTTTTAAATTTGTGCTTTGTCAAACAAATAAAATAGTTTCACTGTGGTGGTGCTTTAGTGCTGCAGATGTATATTACATTTTTAAGACACTTTCTTGAAGAGGATGTTGTGAACTTTGTTGCCAGTTATAGGACGGAGTGAGTACTCCTATATGGAGTGAGTACTCCTATATAGTATTAGATAGAGTGTTGGTTAGAACTTATTGTGACATAAAAAAGATGTTCACTTAACTTTTTATATGACTGGAAAGTGTTTTTTGACCAAATAAAAACAAGAAAGTTTACAATTTTTGTTTTAGTTTTTGTTTGTTTTAGATTAAACTTTTCTTTAAAAAATATTTTGAAAAAGTTTTTGTTGATTCCATTAAATTGTGGCCAGTTAATCCCATGAAAACAGAAAAGCTTTTTTATATAATTTGATGAGTTCCATACCCTTTTCTTATTGTATGTAAATTTCAAAGTCTTTCAAAGCTCACATGCTTCAGCCCTATTGTTTATTTGCAAAAAAGTTTTAAACTATATACTATTGTTTTCAGTAAAAGTTATGATTTTTGAATGATTTTGAATGATTTTTGAATGATGTTGGTGTCTAATATTTTGTCTAAAATATTTTTAAATTACCCAGGTGGATCATTTTTGAAGTAATTCTTTTGTGAATAAAAGGATGGAACTCTTAAATGTCAAACTGGAAAAAGAAAAAAAAAAATGTTTCAGATACCACTTAGGATTGAATAACACTTGTAATTATTTAAACACTTTTTTTCTGGAATTTAATTATTGTATTAATTTTTAAAACTCCTGAATTCTATTACAATAAGCAAATATAAAATTTTTTTGCAAGCAGTAAAAACTTTTATAGCACTTTGTCAAATTTATTAAAATCAAATAAGTAAAGTTGTTAATAAATAAATGGGTAACTAGTGCGAAAACCCATAGAAGACACTTGTCTAAAGATTTTTTTCTTGGTAAAAAATGCTCGTATATGTAACATTTAAGTTACAAGCATAGGCTTGCAACTTTAATGTTACAATGATTATAAAATCAAATTTTGTATTTAGTAATAAATTTTTTCTGTGTAAATAAATCTTTAATAACAAACATGTCTGCCAATTATTGCAAGAGGTAAGGTTTGCTAATGATTATTGTTTTTGTGTTAGAAATTTTTTGGTACTGTAGTCATGGTTTAAATTATTAGAAAAAACTTCTTGTCAATGCGCACCAAAAGCACTAACAATTTAACCAAAAGCATTCAATGCCTTAAAATATTGCAGCTTTTCATCAAATTGACCTCTGAAAGAGCTACTCAAGTGTTAGGAAAACCTCACTACCTACTGGCCAAAAAGGTTTTCATGCATTTGGAATTTTCACTTTTGCAACTTTTAAATAACAAGAAAAAATAAATGCATCATTGATATTTGTAATATGTATCAGGGATATTTACAGAAAAATGTATTAAAATAAATAAAATAGACTTGAATATTACAAAATTTACATTTTTAAAGGAAAATCATCAATTTTAAGTCTTTATAAGACTGCTTTTTAAAAAATGGTTCTTATAGTTCTCAACACATAAATAAATATGCAATAAGTAAAAATGATTAATAAAGCAATGCGAATTTCTAATAAAAAGATCCTTCTCTTATCTAAATTTATTTTGTTTTAAAAGACTATTTTCAGCACTAGTTTAAACATATTTAGAATATTGTGGATCTGTATTTCACCCTCGTCTACTTAAAGACAAATGAAAAGTGGAAAAATATACTAAGAAGAGGATCTAAATTAGTTCATGGATTGCTAAGTCTTTCATATCATCAAAGACTATTAAAAATTAATATGAAAACCATAAGATACAGACTAATACAGGGAGATTTAATAAATGTCTATAAATGGCTAAACAATAGCTACAACTGCCAAACGATCTTTCCATAAACAATTATAAATTCTATTACAAGAGGACATTCATTTAAACTAGAAAAACCTTATTCTCGTTGTCAAAACTTTTTCACCTTACTAGTAGTCAACAAATTGAACTTTCTCCCAAATGACGTTGACAATTTTTTTAAAAAAAGAAAAAACAATTTATGATTAGTATATTTGTATGACAGGTTGAAAGGCATTCATGCCTATATAAATTCAATTTGTAAACCTTTTAAATAATAATAATAATAATAATAATAATAATAATAATAATAATAATAATAATAATAATAATAATAATAATAATAATAGTAATAATAATAATAATAATAATAATAATAATAGTAACATATATTAAAGCTTTACAGCATAATGTTTTAATCCAATAATTAATGAATAATCTTTCTTTGTACTAGAATTCCCAAAAGTGAACTTTTTGTCTCTATGAAATATTTTCATAAAATAAAATGGCATAGATCTGTTGTCATGCTGATTTATGAAAAATTTATAAATCATGAAATAAAAAGTTTAGGAATTTCAAAAAGAATTTCAAAAATCATATATCTTGCATATAGTATACAGAAGAGATGCTCCAGCTATTCTTTTTCAGAGTATCAGTTGTTCTAAAAACATGCACAGCATACTTAGATATGGCTGTTCAGTGAAATCAAATTTAAGGATTTCTCTTCTGTCAAATTTTGACAGAAGAGAAGTTTACTAAGTCATAACTCTAAAATAATTGATTATCTTAGAGTTATGACTTAGTAAAGTTGAAATGCCTCCTTTATAATATTTTATAGAAAATTAATTTTTTATTTTACAGAAAATGTTTTTTTAGCCACAAAATTATTACGCTTTAAACTTTTTGCATTTTAAAATATTATGTATGCATTGTAGCTTTGATGTAAGCAAATAGTTTTCTGAGAAAAAGTCTTTTTTATTTTATTTTTTACAACTGTGAAAAAAAAGCACTAGAATCCTGACTTACTTTATTAGTTTTACTGTTTCTACTAACTTTGTAAGTGTGTATGTGAAAAATTTTTTGTTTCCAGAAGTATTTTTTTGTGTGTGAAAAAACCTCTAATTTCTATAAGTATTTCCTTATATTCGTTTGTGTGTGAGTACATAATTAATAATGCTGCAGATTATTTCCTTTATTATGTTTTTTTGATTAATATATATTTTGAAATTATTATATTAAAAGAAACTATTATATTTAAATTTTAATTAAGTATTAATAAATTTTCAAATAAATATTCAGGCTCCACCGACTGCAGTATCATCTGAGGAAAGGCATAATGCTGAACAGATTTTCTTACAATTTCGTAAAACAAGAACTCCGTATGAATTAGGAAAAAAGATTCTCGGTATGTTATTGTATTAAAGTTTTAAACTTGTTTCTCATTAAAATTATCTTGTCTAGAAATAATTTTATGTTGTTTGTTTAGAAGTAAATCTATTTTGTTAAACAGTGGTGTAACAACAGTTTGGGATTGCAACAATTATCATGGATGTGACTAAATCTCTAATAAAATTTTTTTAGATTTTTTTAACAAAAGCATTGAATTTTTTGTTTAAAAGTTTCAACATTGTTGTTGCTCTCGATAACACAAAAGTTATATTGAACTTGTTTCTCTGTGCAGCGGTCTTGTTCTTCAAGGTTTGTGTTTCAGAGTTAAAAAGTTAAGAAAGGATTGTAACCACAACAGAATGGCCTGCTTGACAGTAGTGGCTTTCTTGGTCTTGGGGATGCGAATAAAATTAAAAAAAAGTTTTCTTATTTGTCTTAAGTTGTCTATTTTAACTTAAGGTTTTAGTAAATATAATCACTTATTTATGATTTTTATTTTGTAAAATGGTTGTGTTTCACCAGCAATTTAAGAATTAGTTTAATGTTATAAATACTTGGTCAGTTTTAGTAACTGAAATCAGTCAATAAATTCTCAATAAGAATTAATAAGTTATTAAGTAAATTAATTCAAATTCAAAATAAATTAAATATATTCATAATATTTAATTTATTTCACAAATATATTAAGTATATTCAAACTTAAAAGTTAAATATGGGTTGTAAGAAAAAAAAGTGGACAATATTGTTCAGAATGACTTGTTAAAGAAAAAAAAAATGCGAAAGAACAATTGAAATATTATATATACAACATTGCATACATAACATTATGTTGTAAAATGAGTAACTCAAACTCTAAACGAGATAATGAAAATGTGTGCACTTCAAGTTCAATGGATTGAAATGGAATTAAAATTATAAAAATATCAGATTGTTTCTACTTCAAAATGGTCCCAAATATGTAGAGTTAAGGAAGTAATCTACCTCAAATGGCCGCTTTTTTAATAATTCTTAGAAATTTATGAATAAGGGTATTGAAAAGAAAAAGGAATTTTTTTTCAAAAATAAAAATGCAGTGTATTGTTTTCCTTGCCACTTATTTGTATCTGGTGCACATAATATTTCCATTTGTCAGTCTGATTCATATATGTACTGGAGTTTAGTAAAATAAAAATTATTTAAAAAAGGAGCTAAAAAAGTTGAACTAATTGACGGTGTTGCACAAAAAGCACTGAAAAGCAAAATTTTAAAATAGCACCTTACATTGACTATAATATTAAAATGTAAATTGTTTTGTGCTAAAAACAAGATGGCTCTTCGAGGACACAATCAAGATGGTAGTATATTTTTGAATTAGTTAAAATTTGTGAATCAGCTTGATGTTGGTTTTATAAACTCACTTGAATCATTAAAAATCATAATATTTTTTGCCAACCAGCTATTTGTTGTCAACCAGCTATTTGTTGGCAACAATTCAGTATGAATTTTTTTGTAAGCATTGAAAGTATGAAGTGAAAAAATTAAACAAATTCAGAAAGCTAAATATTATCATATACATTTGATAGTGCTCCGAATGTATTGTACATAGACCAATTAACTGAAGTTTAATGGTTTGTGAATTTTTAGGTAATAAATATATAGTTAAAGAGAAGATTCATTGAATTCACAAACATAACTGAAAAACGGGAGAAGGAACTACCTACAAAATCATAGCAGCATTAACTCAAAATTCGGTTATCATTTGAAAATGTAAATGGCAAAGGCATGATAATGGGCAGTGAAGTGCAAGGAAGTTCAAGCCATACTTGAAAAAGAGAATCTCCTTGTTTGTTATTTTCTGTGTTCTCTACTGATCTTAATTTGGTATTTGTGCATGCAGCATTGAAACATTCCACAATTTTTCCTCTTCATTAACTAGTAAATGGAAAATAAATATAAGTTACTGAAATCAGTCTACAGAAGCACACGGGAAAGGAAAATAAAAGTTACTGAAATCTACAGAAGCACACGGGCGCAACATAGTGTTTCTAACGGGCGCAACATAGTGTTTCAAAGCAAATGCTGTTTCATATAGAAACAAATTATTTTACTAATGATTTAAATGAAGGATAATTGTTGATGAGTTATTTAAATGGTTGTACCATCAAATCAATAGTTAAAAGTTAATTGCATTTAAAACTATTTTGAATTTGATATTGGAAAAATAAATTTAGCATAAGTCAATTTAGCACTATAAAAAATAAATACCTGGATATTAATTGATCTTATTTGTTAATAAAAAAGTTGTAAATGGATCTAAAGGCTTAAGAACTATCAAAATAGAAATTTTTGCTAAAGTTTACAAAATGAAAGTAGTTTAAAAAAGCAAAGCAAAATGAAAACAAATGTCAGAAGAACATGAAGAACCCAACTTGGATAAGTTCAATATTTCGTGTTTTGCAATCATTGCTTCAATAAAGATGTAGTTAAAAAACAGATTTGTTTCTCTGAAAATTGTAGCAGAAGGTTTCAATCTTTTACGATGAAGGATTTATACTTTAAAGCTGGCCTTTTGTTAGTCAAGTATTCTGAAATAAAGAGCAGTTTATAACTAAAATAAAATGCTTTAAACACCAAATAGTTAAACTATTGCAAAATAATAACAATGGAAAAAGTTGCAAAGCTAAAAGGGTGTAAAAAATAAATTGGCAAACTCAATTACGCCTCTGCGTTAACTAAAATTACAATAATAGAATTCATGTTTTTAATTAACAGGTCATTCCATGCCAAAGGAAGCAAATTTTTATGAAGTTCTTTATGGACCATCTCAGATTTTGTTGAAACTTTATGATTTTGTACATATATATATAAGGAAAGCATGTTTTAAAAATTTCAGATAATATAGTTCTTGAGAAAACATTTAAGTAGTGGGTTATTTTGCTTTAAATTTCACTCTACTAATGAAAAGGTTTTTTTCATTGTTTTTAACAGCTAATAACTTTTGAACAAGTTAGTTTTATAACTATTCTAAGATAGCAAGTATGCAATGAGTACTTTAAAAAAAAAAAAGTTTAAAATCTGGCATCTTTTTCCATAATGGTGAGCTAGGGTTGATATTTTTGTTTTAGAATTTTTTGTGTTTTTAAAGCGCTTAATCTTAAAAACTAGTTCAAAAATTAATGCAAATTAAATTACCCATTGATCTACGCGTGATGGATGGATATTAAATTACCCTACGCGTGATCTACGCGCGATGGATAAAAATTTTAAAAAAATCAGTTGATTAAAGAGCTGCATTAAAAAGTAACAGAAACTTCTCTCTTAAAAATTGATGCTTGTAATAAGTGTTTCTATAAAAGCTTTGTCAACAAAAAATAAATAATTTTCTTTTGACATGTTGAACAAACCAGCTGTACATTTTTGCTTGATGTGTCAGGATCCTTAAGTGGCTGTAAACTAGCTCATGCAACAAGATGTTTTACAACCTCTATTTTCAATGCTACAAATCATTAACTTAAATAAGTTTTTGTAGCAATTCCAGGAATTTTCTGTACAAGAAGCTTTACATTTTGATGGTACTGGCAAGCACAAACTGCATGCAGACCAAAAGCACAACCCACAGGAATGCACCCCCTAGATAATGCATTCCTGTGAGTGATGAAGTTCTTTCATATTGACTAAAAGAAGTCATTTTTGAATATGTTGCTTTAGATCATCTAATTTAACTGACACAAACTCTTTCTTTCCTGAACAAACCCTTGAATATTCATCACATAGATAGAATTGAGCAACCTATAATTATAAACCTATAATCTATAATTACATCTTAAGTTTTTTTTTGAAAAAGTTTCAATAATAGTCCACTTTGTTTTTTTGATTATCTGGCTTGTATTACAAATCTTTTTGAAGTCAAAAATTACTGCTGAATTTTCTTTATTGACTAATTTTCCTGAGTGTAAATTTTTTTCAAGCAAGCGTAATAACTGTGTGTAAGATTTTTGGGATTTTGATAATGTTTTCTCAAATGACTTTTTGACTTTTTAAAAATGAATTTTTTGACCTGGTTTGAGTCCTAATATTATTTAAATTGTTGTTGTTACATATTCTATACGCAAATCTTTTTTTACATATTCTATACGCAAATCTTTTTTTACATATTCTATACGCAAATCTTTTTTTTGAAACAGGTTGAAGAGGTGAACATCCAAAACTACCAATACTTAAATTAAGATCTTTTGATATTAGGTTGTCAACATAAATTTCTTTTTTTTTTGTTGAGATTTTTCTTTTGTATCATGATGTTTGCTATGCTGTGTTTTTCTGCAACTAGTGCAGATTTTTTGACTAGGTGTTACACCAAAATCTTTGGCATATGAAATAATAATAACTCTAAGAGAATCTATAAAGTAAAAGATAATAATTATTAAATATTGTTTAACATTTATTTATTACCGAAGGTATTGATATTAAATTAAAGGTATTAGTTAGTGAAACTTACTTTTCACTTTTTTTTGAGTGCTTCTCCACGGAATACAATAATACCTACAATGGAATACAATAGTACCTACAACGGAATACAATAATGTTCATTCTCAAATAAGCTTTCTTGTGATAGTTACAAATAAAATCTATAGGTCATTGGGAATTTTGCTTTGCTTCTCAAAAAAGTAAGCTTTTGGTTCAGTTAAGACGTTTCTTTATAACATTTCCTTTTTTTAGACTTGTTAAACTTGATAAGATAGCACTGTTCATTTT